CCGTGACTCCTATCAGACAGACGTCACGATCAGAAATAATCACCTTTCACGGAGTGAAGCAGATAAAAATCAGAGTTTTGGACCAGCTCCAAGTGGTGTATCTCGTTAGTTGCGCTTCAGAGACTGCTCGTTCACAGCGCGAAATTCCTAGTACCGTCCCTAATAGTCAGTGATTTCTATTCCTCCGACGCATTGTCCAGCACCTCCCTAGCCCAGCAACGCCTCTTCACGCACTCGCCGCCATGAGTTGCAACGGCTGTCGCGTGTTTACGAAAGGGCTGCAGCGAAACCTGCGTCATTCGCCACTGCCTCGCGGGATCGACGGCGCGGAGCCGCAGGGCCACGCAACGCTCTTCCTGGCGAAATTCTTCGGGCGCGCGGGCCTCATGGGCTTCATCGCGGGAGTGGAGGAGACCCAGCGGCCCGCGCTCTTCCAGTCGTTTGCTCTTCGAAGCGTGCGGTCGCACCATCAATCCCGTCTTCGGCGCTGCGGGTCTGCTCTGGACGGGCCAGTGGCACCTCTGCGAGGCCGCAGTCGACGCCGTGCTTCGCGGAGGGTCGATAAAGCCGACATCCGACGCTTCCTCTCCAGCCGCCGCCACTCTCGCGACCAATCCTCCTCCATGTTCCCAACTCCCCCTCTCACCCCCGCCCAGTCGCACCCCCCTGCGCTGTCCCAGCTCCCACCGTAATGGCGCCAGCAGGGCCAGCCATGATGGTCGGAAGTTCCGCCGCGCCTTCCGCATTCCCGTCTTCCGTGTTTCCCGGCGCCGCGCCATTCTTCCCCAGCGCGATGAGCGTCCTGAGGCCGCGTGGCGGACTGCCCGTGACGGCGACCGTGCTCCCCGCCTTACCTGGCGCTGGCAGTGTGAGTCCGCCGTTATTTCGGCGGATTCGCCGCCAACTACGCTCCGCAACACTTGATGCAGCAACAGCAGCAGCAGCAGCAGCAGTACATGCAACTTCAGCACCAGCAACAACTGCAGCAACAACTGCAGCAGCAGCAGCAGCAGCAGCAGCAGATGGCGCATCTACACAGCTTGTACTCCCCACAAAGCCTCTACCCTCCTACCGCTACCGTCTCCCTGCCAGCCACTGCCGCTGCCACCATGTCTGCCGGCCAGCCAATGGTCGCGCCTAGTCAGATGCTCCCCTATTGGCCGGCTGCCCACGTGTCTGCAGGCCCCACATCCGCCTTCCCCAGCACGGCGCCAGGCGGAGTAATGATGATTGCAACTCCCCCGCCGCCTGCTCAGCTGACTGGAATGTCCATGGGTGGCTTGCAGCCAATGGCGTTCGGACAAGTGGCAGTTGGGAGCGTGCAGAGCCAGCAATTGCAGGGCAATCCAGGGCAGGCCGTGGCTGCACAGCCGACAAGTGCTGCACAGAAGCAACAGCAACAGCTACAGCAACAGCAGCAGCAGCAGCAACAACTGCAGAAGCAACAGCAGGCAGATAGCGAGCGGCAGCAGCGTCTGAGGCCGTGCACACCACCTGCTGTGCCAGCAGCAATGGACTCAGCCAAAGCACTCGCAGCAGCGCCGGGCGGCGCACGAGTGGCACCAGAGCGCACTGAGAGTCCTGCCAGCTGTCTGTCTCCTATGTACAGTGCAGTCAGTGGGGCGAGACTGAGTGGCCTGAGCGGCTCCAAGAGCTTCCGAGGCCCAGAAGACAGCAGCACGCTGCTGCTGGCACCAGTGGCCCGCCGCCCCAAGCTGCTGCACGCCCCAACATCAGCCTCGCCGCAATTTGTCTCTCCGAACCTGCAGGTCCGGCCAGACCTTGCCGTGGGAAGCTGCAGTGTCCCAGGGGCAAGAGCTGGATCCGAGTCGTTGGAGTCGCACGCGACTGTGGAGGCGCCCGAGTTGGGCGCACCAGCCTCGTTTCCGACACCCAGTGCTGCAGGCAGTCCGTACCTTTCCCTCTGCAGCCATGGCAGCCAAGCGGGCAAGTTGCATGAGCAGCAGAGCAGCATGCTCTACTCCGTCCATCAGAGTGCCCACAGCCAGCAGAGCTCTCCTGGTGCGCTGCTCCAGTTGCTCTCATGAGCTGCATGGGTGTGCGCATCCGCTGGCTAGGTGGGTGTGCCCTAAGGCACATGCTGCGGCATCCGCTTCTGATTTTTGGCATGTGGTGGTAGTTGGCCTGTCATTTTGCCATCCTATGGATGGAGTGTGTCTAGCTTGTATTCCATGACTTGCGCATGTAACTGTTACGAGGGAAAGTGGCGAGAGAAAAAAAGAATCGACTAGGAGAGAGAGAGAGAGGTACAAGAAGTGGGTTGTCCTCTTTACAGTAGGATCCAGTCATTTGTAGAACACCTACCAAGTGTTGGAAATATCTCAAGGACTTAAGCGTTTCTGAAGTGTAACACTGTACTCGAGGAAGATTACAGGGGAGCACGCGAGTCAACGGAGGTTACACGAGGGGGCGGACAAAGAATGCGAAAGGACTCGAAAGGTCGCAACTGGAGGTTGCGACTGACCGTTACAACATCACGGATGGTAACCGAAGCGGCAATCGAGTCGCTGTGCGACTCGATAAACCGTTCCTGTAACTGTATTCTACAACTGCTTTCTTATCTTCTATATATTGCTGTATGCTTGTTTCTTTAATCAATCACTTGTTCTCACATACTAGTACAAGGGTTCAACCGTCTCAACTTCCGCTGCACTACTCCAAGTCTCAAGTCTTTACAGCTGGGACTTAGTCTCTGCAAAAGATCCTAAGGGCTTTTCTCAGCCCAACATGGTATGAGAGCTGGTCAGAGATCAAAACTCCCAGCAACTACACTCCATCAACAACCAGCAACTCAACTTGATTCAACAACTCCATTGATTACAAGACATGGACAACAAGGGCAAGAAAGTCTCTACGGGCTCACCCAGCGCCCAAGAAACTCAACACGGCAACTCTGGTCTGCACACCTCAGGACTGCAGACAGAGACCGGGACTACTCAAGAAACAACGGGAAGAGTACCAGAGATGGTGACCCCGTCTCCATCTTCAAGTGTGGACCCGAATCTCATGGAGAGATTCTTCAGCTTCATGTCACACTTCGATCAGCAGCAGCAGACAAGGACACCTGCGCACTCAACACAGAGCAATGGAGGGAATATGGGATTAGCGCCGATGAGCCTCGACAACTCATCCTTCGGGCGACACAATCAAGCGCCTACCTTTGCGCCTTATCACTCTTCACCGGGGACGTTCGAGTTCATGCCGCCCCGTGCCCAACCAACAGCAGCTGCATCACAACAAACACCAAACGAGATTTTAAGTCTCCAGGCACAGTTTTCACACGTGATTAAACTGCAGACATCATCCCCATTCAACGGACACGACTTCTTTACCTGGAGCTTCGAGTTCGAGCTGCTGATGGAGGCCGCGCATCTTCTGGGATACTTCAACGGGTCCCTGCCATTCCCAAGCAACGGCACTGGGAAGGAACAAGAAATCTTCACGTATCAGTCGCTGCTGGCGTATACGGTACTCCTGAGAAACTTGTCACCACAAGAGCAGCAGAGCATCAGAACGTATCGGAGTTATGGAAACTCCGCGGAACTTGCATGGCATCATCTCAAATGCCTCTATCAAGCAAACGACAGCGTGACACAAAGCAGACTCATGCAACAGCTGACAACAATACAGATGAAAACCGGGGAAAAGGCGATGCAGTATATGAGTCGCTGCCAGACCCTGCGCGACCGCCTGCTTCGGTGCGGAGGAACGATCACTGAAGAAAGCTTCGTCACACTTGTCCTCGCCGGGCTCGGACCAGAATGGAGAACCACACGATCGCTTCTTCGCGCCCACGGAAGGATCTCGGAGATGCACCTCTGCGCCGAGCTTCACGCTGAACAACAGGAGATGGATCTGTTCGAGGAAAGACAACCAAGGAAGCAACAGCAGTTAGTCTTCTACACTCAAAGAAGAAATGACATAAACTACAACCGACGCAGCAAGCAAGATCAACGCGACAACCGAGGACTCACCATCGTGCCGCCGTTCTGCCACAACTGCCAGACTTCCGGACACTCCAAAGTCAACTGCAACCGCCCTCGCGTTTACCGTGCAGCAGACCCACAAGTTGCTTCCACTCAAGCAAGTTCCCCAAGGCGCTCTTCAACATCTGCACAAGGGACACCAAATATCATCAACTGCATGGTACACATCGACAACTGCGCACCCGGATCACCACCCACTTACGCACCAGACGAAGAGGAATTCCCGCCGCCGCGCTCACAAGGACTTCAGGTCAACCCAACATACGCTGCGGTCGCCAACGCCGAACCCACTGGGCGAAACACCTGGTTCTTGGACAGCTGCTGCGGTCAACACATGTGCTCCTCGGGACGCTTCGTGCAACAGGAGAAACGCCTCAACCGCGACGTCGTCATCACCGTTGCCAACAACGAAAACCTGAAAACAAACAGACAGGGCGTGGTTCAGTTACAATCCATGGAGACGAATGTCATACTTCAACTCAACAAGGTGCTCATTGTCGACAATCTGGGATACAATCTACTAAGCGTAAGCCAACTAATGGCCAAGGGGATTCACCTGGAGTGCGACTCTTACTCCAACGAGTTCCGGCTTTACCACGGGAAGGGCGGCCTCTTCATCGGTCGTGCCCTCCTGAAGTCCGGCGTCTTCGTGTTGGACTTCGTCCCCGACCGCGGAACTGCCGACAGCGATGGCATCGTATCGTTCGCCGCCTGGACTCACCCGCCGGATCTGTTAGAATTAAGGACGGAGTCTAGGTGAACTTAGGAGCTAGAATTACTCAAAATATATATCCGAAATTCTGGACAGAAAAGTCGTCTTCACAAGAAACGACGTCGACAAAAACCTAGCCGTTGGAATGTCGCGAAACTTGGATATGTTGTAGCTCTTAATCTCAGCTACCGTTCCCAATTTGAATCACGTTGATTGATGAAGTATTCGCGACGCTATGGCTTTCGACGCACTAGGGGGTAAGCTGTAGGAGGAGAACTTAACTCAATCTCAAGAGTTCAATCAAAGTTCAAGAATCTCACAAGGAATTTAGAGGAGCAAGAGAAAGGTTGGGATAGAAGAGAGGGATGAGAGGGAAGGTCCCAAGAGAGTCCCCAACCAAGGAAACCCCATAAGCACAAAGATTCCCTCCCTATAGGAACCCCAACTTTGACATTTGTCCCTTCCCAACCAATCCATCCAAGTTGGCCACCCTTGCCAACCTAGCTTGGTTGTTCCCAACCAATTTGCAGCTGTTACAGTAGAGTGACGAATTTCCCCAACCCCAAAGGTCCCAACTCCATATAAAGTCACCCCACAACTTCACTTTGTAACCGCCGCAATTGTAACGCAAGCTCATGAACTTTGAATCTTCATAGCTTTCGCGTTCTTGCTCCGATTGACGCGATTCTTGTTGCGTCGGAAAGATCTTCTCAAGATCTATCATCACAAATACCTGCTCAGACAGAATAACACAAAACACATTCCCAAACTCCAGAACACACACCACACAAATTCTTTCACACACAGTCAAACCATACGTGCGAATTGAAACAAGGGATGGGAGGCAGACAGAATGTGATAACATATGATGACATCACACAACAATCTCCCCCTCTGGCTGCCAACCATCAACCACCATACCAACATCTCAAGCATGCATACTCAATGCACACTCATCCCAGCAAGCTTCATGCCCTTCCAATGATCCGCCTCCGCCAGACGCTTGGTGAAAATATCTGCTGCCTGCTGATGGGTCTTCACTATCTCCAGCCGCACCTCCTTATCAAGGAGTCTCCTCACCCAGTGCCACTTAGGCCTTATGTGTTTTGTCAGCCCATGCAAACAAGCATTCTTGGCGAGCTTCACAGCAGACTCATTGTCACAGAACACAACTGTCGGCTCCTCCTGACCAACTCCCAACTCCTCCAACAAACGCCTTAGCCACACTACTTCCTTGGCCCCATGGTGTAAGGCCATGTACTCAGTCTCACATGAGGACAATCCCACCTCATTCTGCTTCTTGCTGCGCCAGCTCACAGCACCACCTCCTAGCAAGCACACATAACCCCCAATGCTGGTGCCATCCGCTTTCACTGAGTTGAAGCTAGCGTCAGTATAGCAACTCAAGAGCATCTCACCACTCTTCACATCTGCAGCACCTCTCTGCAACCGCTGCCTCACTCCACTGTACTCCAATCCCACTGATGCCGTAGCACTCACATAGCGGACCAACCTCTTGGCCGCTTCCAGCTGCTCATGACTAGGGCGTGAGACCACACTAGCCAACCGTGATGTAGAAAATGCAATGTCAGGCCGTGTATGATTTGCAGCATAATTCAGCGACCCAACCATCGAATGAAACAGCTTCCTGTCACTCTCACCCACTACCTCCTCATCAGCACATGGCTCCACAGTAAACCCTGAAGGTAGTGGTGTTGCTGGCTTTCCCCCATCTTGCAGCCCATACTTCTCAGCCAGCCCCTCACAGTACTTCCTCTGGTGCAACCTCAGCACACCCTTCTCCACATCTCTCTCCACATGCATCCCCAAGTAGTACTTCACCTCACCCATCTTGGAACACTTGAACTGCATCTCTAGCATCTGCTCTGCGCTGTCCAGCAAAGCAGTTGATGCAGAAAAGAGAAGGATATCATCCACGTACACCAAGAGCATGAGGATTTCATCCTTCTCCTGCAGCAGGAACAGGCTGGGGTCACACTCACTCTTCTTGAAACCCCAGCCAGCAGCGCCTCCTCCAACTTGTGATACCATGCACGAGGCGCCTGCTTAAGGCCATAGATGGCCTTCTTCAGCCTGCAGACCCTGCCGCTCCCATCATCCAGCCCCTCTGGCTGCTTCATATACACCTCCTCCAGAATGATCCCATTCAGAAAGGCAGTCACAATGTCCATCTGCCGTATCTTCCATCCCAGGAGTGCAGCTATCGCCAACAGCACCCTCAGTGTTGTTCCTTTCCCCACAGGAGCAAACACCTCATCATAGTCCTTCCCTTTTGTCTGCTGAAACCCCCTTGCCACAAGCCTAGACTTGTATCGGGTCAGCTCCCCTTCAGGTCCATACTTGTGCCTGTAGATCATCTTGGAAGTGATTGCCTTCTTTCCAGGAGGCAAGTCACACAGGTCCCATGTCTCGTTCTCAATCAGGGACCCAAACTCCTCATCCTCACTCGCCTTCCACTTCTCCCCATTTGGTCCATTCAAGGCCTCTTCTCGAGTCTTGGGCTCAGGGATTGGTGCCCAGTAGCAGTGAGCGATCTCATCTTCCTCAATCTGCTCAACCACACTCCCAGCCTGCACCACATTCGGCTTGCCTCTTCCCCCATAGGTCAGCCTCACTGGAGGGCGCACATCCCTCCTAGGACGCTCAGGCGGGTGTGGAACTCGAGGTGGAGACTCATGCTGCTGCTGCTGCTGCTCTACTTCAGCTGCTCCCCCTTCCTCAGTCACCCCAGACATCTCCTCCTCTGACACTGCAACCTCTACCTGTCTTGAAGGCCGCTGCACCTCATCCGCCTCCACAATGAGCGGTGTAGATGGAAGCTTCTGTTGCTGCTGCTTCCATTCCTTGTAGTACAGGGACTCAAGAAACTTCACATCCCTTGACACTGTCAACTTCTGGGTGGTCAAGTCCCATAGCAGCCACCCCTTGTGATCCTTTGCAATCCCCAAGTGCACACCCCATCTTCCAGAAGCCTCCAACTTCCCCCTTTTCTCCTTAGGCACATGAAACACCACCATGCACCCAAATGCCCTCAGCATGTTCACAGCTGGAGCACTCCCATACCACTTGACGTATGGGATCCACTCCTTATCTCCAACTGTAGCCAGCACCCTGTTCTTCACAAGGGCGACCTGCCTCAGTGCAGACACCCAAAACGGATCAGGCAGCCCTGCACGCCCAAGGAGAGTGCGTGCCCCCTCCTGCAGGGTCCTGTTGAACCTCTCAGCCACGCCATTCTGCTGTGGGTTGTAGGGCACTGTCAGTTGATGCTGGATCCCCTTCCTCTTCAACTCCCCCTCAAAATCAGCTCCAATGAACTCCCCACCATTGTCACTACGGATCACCTTCACCTTGTGTCCGCATTCCTCTGAGCTCTCGGCATCCACTCCTTAAGGACAGCCGCTGCCACCTCCCCCTTGCTGTTCAAAGGGTAAACCCACACTGCTCGAGTGTGGTCATCCACAATTGTCAAGAAATAGCGGCTGCCTGAGAGGGAAGGGGCTCTTGTGGGCCCCACCACATCCATGTGCACAAGTGCAAGTGGGGTCTTGGCTGGTCCTGTAGTGCTGTTGAAGGGGAACTTGGAGAACTTGGTCTCCAAGCATGTAGGGCAGCTCCCAATCTCCTTCACTTCCCCTTTCACCTCCAAGCCCTTCAGGCTCCCATTCTTCACCAACTTCTGCAGCATAGGGAAGTTCACATGACACAACCTCTCATGCCATGTCTCCCAATCGGCCTCTCCACTCCTTGATGAAGCCTTAGCCCATGCCGCACTCGCATCCACACCAGCAAGCACCTCACCATGTGTCTGCTGCTTCTGCACTTTCTTGACTGCTTCCAGCACCCCATCAGTTGGTGCAGTTGCATCTCCTCCTGCTGTTGCCTTTGCCGCTGCTGCCGTTGCTGCTGTTGGAGTCTTCCCATTCCAAGGGATGATGGGCAGCTGCCACAGGTCCTTGATGCAGCTGGTCTCCTCTTCCAGACTCCACAGCACCTTCTTCCCAAGCTTAGCACGGCAGCTGGTTGGTCCAAAGGTCACTTCGGCCTTACTCTTCTGCAGCCGCCGCACAGAGAGAAGGTTAGCAGACAAGCCTTTAACCAGCAGAACATTCCCAAGCCCCACAAGCTCCCCATTAGCTCCCTTAACCTTGGCATTCCCAACACCAATCACGGGGAGCAAAGCACCTGACGCTGCTGCCACATACTTAATCTTCCCAGGGGGTTTTACCTCATCAAGCAAATCTGCCCGTGGGGTCATGTGACTGGTGCAACCCGAATCAATCACCCAGTGCGTGAGAGGGTGCATCACAACCTTTCCCACAAATCCCACATCACCCTCATGCCCATGCACATCCTCAACCATAAGAAACAAACCAGGATAGGCATTACCTTGTGCACCTTCACCTTGTGCACCTGAGCCTTGCACAGCGCCACCTTGTGCGCGTTCACCACTGGGCGGCTTCATGCCTGGAGGTGCCCATCCCTCCAGCCTGCTGAAGCACTTGAACCAAGGATGCCCAACCTTCTTGCAGTACCAGCACGTGCCCTCCATTCTGGTACTCCCCCTGCCACTAGAGCTCCCATGCCCTCATTATAGTCACCTCGGCCTCTACCTCTGCCAAAGCTCCTCCCACGGCCTTGGCCTTTCCAACCCCCTCTTCCTCTGCCGCGCCCTGCAGCTCCATACCCCTCAGCAGTCTTAGTGGCAGCACCGCCTCCCACATGGCGTCTGCGGAAGTCCTCCTGCAGAATCTGCTGCCTTAGCCACTCAGGTGTCCATTGATCTTGCTGAGAGTTGAGGGTGGGGATGAGGTTATCCCACGAGTTGTCCAACACCGAGATGATCTTGGTGCACTGCTGCAGCTGAGATACACTGCTGCCCGCTGCTGCCATCCTTGCATAGGTGTCCTTGATCTTGTCAAGGACCGGCTTCACATCGTCCCCTGGTCGCATGGAGATGGCAGCAAGTTCCTTCTCGAGCACGATCACCATCGGGAGAGTGTTGGGCTGAACCACATCACGTAGTAGTTTCCACGCCCTTGGACCCGAATCATCCGCTTCCACAAGATCCTTGATGTGCTCGAACATCTCCTTGTTGACCGATTGAAGAATGAGGTCGAAAAGCACCGCGCTTTTCTCAATCCACCGTTCACGTGCTTCGCCTTCTTCCGGCATCTTCTCTTCCCCAACAGCAATCTTCAGGAGCTTGTAGCGTTTGAAGGCACTCCTCATCCGTCCGCTCCATTCCTCATAGTTGGAGCCATCCAAAGCTTCAACTTTTGATGGCGGCGGCTCACTTGTCTTCTCAGCTACAGCTCCTCTTCCATTAGCATCTCCTCCTCTCTCATTCATCTTCTCCTTGAGAAATGACGAATTTCAGCTCCCCTTTGCTGTCCACACTCAGCTCCCTCGATATTTTCACAAGTGTCGGCGTCCACGAAATTTCGGCAGAGTTTCCCCTTAGCGGAAGACACATCCAACCTTTAGAACACCACTTAGGCACACCCACAGGCCATGGTGGGTCTAGAAGGGTCTTCACACTTCTGTAGACTCCTCTCAATGTCCTTAATATCGCTCTGATACCACTTGTTAGGATTAAGGACGGAGTCTAGGTGAACTTAGGAGCTAGAATTACTCAAAATATAAATCCGAAATTCTGGACAGAAAAGTCGTCTTCACAAGAAACGACGTCGACAAAAACCTAGCCGTTGGAATGTCGCGAAACTTGGATATGTTGTAGCTCTTAATCTCAGCTACCGTTCCCAATTTGAATCACGTTGATTGATGAAGTATTCGCGACGCTATGGCTTTCGACGCACTAGGGGGTAAGCTGTAGGAGGAGAACTTAACTCAATCTCAAGAGTTCAATCAAAGTTCAAGAATCTCACAAGGAATTTAGAGGAGCAAGAGAAAGGTTGGGATAGAAGAGAGGGATGAGAGGGAAGGTCCCAAGAGAGTCCCCAACCAAGGAAACCCCATAAGCACAAAGATTCCCTCCCTATAGGAACCCCAACTTTGACATTTGTCCCTTCCCAACCAATCCATCCAAGTTGGCCACCCTTGCCAACCTAGCTTGGTTGTTCCCAACCAATTTGCAGCTGTTACAGTAGAGTGACGAATTTCCCCAACCCCAAAGGTCCCAACTCCATATAAAGTCACCCCACAACTTCACTTTGTAACCGCCGCAATTGTAACGCAAGCTCATGAACTTTGAATCTTCATAGCTTTCGCGTTCTTGCTCCGATTGACGCGATTCTTGTTGCGTCGGAAAGATCTTCTCAAGATCTATCATCACAAATACCTGCTCAGACAGAATAACACAAAACACATTCCCAAACTCCAGAACACACACCACACAAATTCTTTCACACACAGTCAAACCATACGTGCGAATTGAAACAAGGGATGGGAGGCAGACAGAATGTGATAACATATGATGACATCACACAACAGGATCTTGACCCCGACTTCGACAGTGACGGCTTCTGGCACTCCAACACCATACCTGCAGCAGAGAGAACACGAGCATTAGCAGTTATCAGACAAGAAAGACAAGTACCAGCAAGCGTCCCAACAAAACCATCACCTGCAGTATCGGCAGCAGGACCCAGCCGAGTACCACCACCATCAACACGAGGACCGCCAACGGAAGCAGACCAACTTATGCCCGCCACACGAGAAGCTTGTCGAAGTCCCGCCTCGGTCGTCGCGTTCTTCTCCAACGCCGACATCTACCACCGCTCGCCCGGTCACCGCGCTCCCGACGACATCTGGCACCAACGTCTCGGACATCCTGCAAACAGCACGATACTACAAACAATACAAGCAGAGGTGTTAGAACGTAACGCACTTCTAACGACGAGCGGCCAAGAACTTCGCCGACCAAGAGCACGATGCTTCACGTGCCCCGAAGCAGATCTTCCTCATCAACCTTTCCAGCCCATCACAATCCAAGCGCACCCACTTACGCTCCGATGGAAAAGGTCTACAGCGATATTCTAAACATGCCTCGAGACGACACCGAAGCCGACTTCAACTACGTCATCACGTTCATCGACGCCGCAACCAGATACGTCTGGCACTTCAATCTCAAAACGCGCGATCAAGCCTTCGAGGCCTTCACCACATGGCTTCCAATCGCCGAACGAGAGTCAGGAACCAAACTCAAGAGTTTCCAGTCAGACGGTGCACTGGAATACCAGTCACAACGCTTCAGGACCTATCTCGCGGAAAGGGGAATCCGACGCCTGGTGTCTCTGCCCTATGCTCACCAGCAGCAGGGGGTAGCAGAACGCATGAACCGGACCTTGCAGACGACGATGCGAAAACTGCTTCTGGGGATGAGGCTGCCCAATACACTGTGGCCAGACGCGATGACACATGCAGTCCACCTGCACAACCTGTTGTCCTCGTCATCGCTCCCCAACAACGCATCACCGCACCTGCTGTGGACGGGAAAAAGGGGCAGCACAAAATTACTTCGAGTTTTCGGCTGCATGGTACAATACAGACCCCACACAGCTCGAGCAGGACGCTTCACTCAACGAGCTCGGTGGGGACTACACCTCGGCATCGCCAAACATTTTCACGCGTGGAAGATTCTCGACATACACGACAAAAATACGGTGGCATCACGTGATGTTATCTTCTACGAGCGACTGACGCTGCAGCATTACCTGGACAACATTGCCAACTCAGACGACCCCACCGACGGCTTCGCGGGCCTTCGCTCCTTCGCTGACCATGCTGCCGAGGCTGACGCAGCAGAAGAAGACGTCCCTGGAGCCTCGGAGGCTGCCGGACCACTCCCCTACTGCTCCGTACCTGTTCCACTCGATGAAGATAATCCCCTCGATAGCAACAACCTCGACACCTTTTACCACTTCGCTGACCAAGGCTACGCTACACCACACCCCGTCGACTCGAATATTTCCGAACGCATCGGGCCAAACTTCTTACCCGATCCTGAAGACGGTGATGAAGCAGCTTATCCCGAGAATGAAAACTCCCCTCGACACACAGCCACGGGACTGCAGATCCTAGGACTATGGGTCTCCGTCCAGCACCCGCCGCCGCCTTCTCCGCGCGAGCCGTCGACCCTGTCGCAGGCTCTGGGGGGGAACATAAGGCACAATGGAAGGAAGCGATGGAAAAAGAGTTAAAAGCTCTGCAAGACCGAGAAACATGGAAACTGGTACCTGCAACGAGCATCAACGGGAAGAACATTCTCTCGGGGAAATGGGTGTACCGCATCAAGACCAACTCAGACGGCTCCATCGAACGATTCAAAGCTCGATGGGTCGTACGAGGCTTCGATCAACGATACGGAACCGACTACACAGAAACCTTCGCTCCAGTCTCCCGTCACACCTCTCTGCGCATCCTACTCGCCATCGCGGCCACGAAGAAACTACCACTACGGCAAATCGACGTTGCAAACGCCTTCTTGTACGCACCTGTGGACGCCGAAATCTTCGTCGAACAACCCCACGGATTCATCGACGACCCTTCAAAAGTATGCCAGCTAGAAAAATCCCTTTACGGGATCAAGCAAGCCCCACGGCTCTGGCAGCAGCACCTTCACGGCCGGCTCGTAAAAATCGGATTCCTACAGCTACCACATGACCAAGGCATGTACCGACTACAGAAGGGAAGAGATTACATTCTGCTCATCGTCTACGTCGACGACCTGCTCTACATCGGTTCTACCACCGACATCGTCACCTGGTTCGAAGGGGAGCTGAAAAGGGACCTGACGCTCACGGTGTCCGACGAAGTTACCCAGTACCTAGGACTGAACATCGTCGAAGACGACACGGCGTTCTACCTACACGCTGGAAAGTACTCAAGCACCGTCGCGAAGAAATTCGGTCTAGCACCGACTGCGGTCCCAACTCCCTACCGCTATGGGAACAACATTAGCGCCTCCACAAAACTCCCCGCGAAACAAATCCAGGAGTATCAACAGAAGCTCGGCTGCCTACTATTCGCAGCAGTAACCTGCCGACCCGACCTATCCTATAGTGCGAGTCAGCTGGCGACACATCTGAAGCAGCCGCAACAGGAAGATCTCGAAGAACTCAATCGAGCGCTACTCTACTTCGTCTCCACGCCGACGATCGGGCTCACCTACAGCAAGGCAACAACACCGTCCGTACAACTACTCGGATACGTCGACGCCGACCACGCGGGAGACAGCGAAAATCGACGGTCTAGGACGGGCTACATCTACCGACTAGAACCTATCGGAACTATCTCCTGGCAGTCGAGCAAGCAGGAGTTAATCGCACTATCCTCGGCTGAAGCAGAGTATATCGCCCTTTGTACTGCGACCAAGGAAGGACTCTACCTACGAGAGTTACTCGAAGAAGCGAAGATCGCGACCCTGCCCGCCTTCTCACTCCTCTGCGACAACCAATCTGCGATCAAAATCGCGAACAAGGACGGCTTCGCCAACCGAACCAAGCACATCGCCCTGCGGTACTTCTTCGTCAAGGATGAAATCGCGAAGGGGAGACTTCAACTCAGTTACTGCCCGACGACAGAAATGGCCGCAGATTATCTGACGAAGAAATTGGCGAAAGCAAAATTCGACTACTGCATGCTCCTAACCGGGCAAACAAACGTCACCGGATCTGAACACTCCAGCACTCCAGAAACGAAGGGGAGTGTTGGAAATATCTCAAGGACTTAAGCGTTTCTGAAGTGTAACACTGTACTCGAGGAAGATTACAGGGGAGCACGCGAGTCAACGGAGGTTACACGAGGGGGCGGACAAAGAATGCGAAAGGACTCGAAAGGTCGCAACTGGAGGTTGCGACTGACCGTTACAACATCACGGATGGTAACCGAAGCGGCAATCGAGTCGCTGTGCGACTCGATAAACCGTTCCTGTAACTGTATTCTACAACTGCTTTCTTATCTTCTATATATTGCTGTATGCTTGTTTCTTTAATCAATCACTTGTTCTCACATACTAGTACAAGGGTTCAACCGTCTCAACTTCCGCTGCACTACTCCAAGTCTCAAGTCTTTACAGCTGGGACTTAGTCTCTGCAAAAGATCCTAAGGGCTTTTCTCAGCCCAACACCAAGCCTACACAACTACCGGTATATATATAAGGGCAAATTCCTATGAAGTAGATGTTAAATTATATATTTGAGATATATATTATGGTAGGTTTGGTTGGTAGGTGTTACTTGATTCTACTGTAGATGGTACAACCTCCCCTCTTGTATCTCTTCTATTCCAACTTTCTTCTCCCATAACTTTCTCCTACCCTAAAACCTCTCAGCAAGCCCCCAAATTGGTTTTGGGCCTGTTTGATTCGTCAGAGTCCCCGACCTTCCCTTGGTATGGGTGTCAAAGTTACCTCCTTGAAAAGGTCTGAAAAATCAGAGTAGCCTTCGATTTTTTGTCTGACCAATCAGAGTCGTAGCCAAACTTTTGTATGAGCCTTTTTTATGGTTCTTCATTAGAGAATGCACTACATTTCACTACATACACGGAATCAGTCGATATCCTGCATATCATGCTGAGGCGCTGCCGGCATATCGTCATGTACTCTCTTTTCCCTTCCTGCTGCTACTGGCCTCGGGCAGGGCGTTGCTAAGGGGCTTCCTCTTCTTATAAGCCCGCCAGATGGTGACCACCTCGTCCCAGTCGGGGTCATACTCTAGCTGCGATATGCACATCAGATCTCCTAGCCTAGTATCCTTGAGAGCCCCCCGCAACCAACTCTTGATGACGTTCTGGCGGGAGAATCCGCGCTCGCACTCGACAGTGCTCAACGGAAGGACAGCCACCACCCACAAGTTGACCAGATTGGGGTAGCTGTCCCTCCAGTCTTGCGTCTTGAGCATGGCGCTCAGCCCCGCATGGAATGACTTGTCCGCCTTGGGAAGCGCAGCAAGGACGGGAACGAAGTTGCGGAGCTCGCTCTGGGCTTTGCATTTGTCTATACCTGATTAGACAAGGGCACACAAGGAGAGGGAGAAGGGTTGGGTTATCGAAAACAATACACAGCTAGTAAAAGATAGGTGTCTTGTTTCAGATACATTGCTGAAGGGATACTGGAAAGAGTAGACGGTGATTCACCTGGCAGAATCTCGTCCCTGTCTTCAGCGCGGTAGATGACCACGAGCGAGTTGAACCACTCGAGTCACTGCGTCCTCCGTGCCTGTCGGTCCCAGTTGGGCGGCCATGTGTCGACGCTGAATAGGCGCGCTCCCGATAGCTGCCGCAGATCGCCTAGGCGTTCGTCGAGGTTGCGGACCAGGCCCTCCGCTAGAGCCATGCACGCCATGACACTCCCATCGAGGTCGCTGGGCCCCGGGTAGTCCTCTTGGGGCTCTTCGTGCAGCTCGAAGGTGAACCGTGAAGGTCGGCCATCGGAGTCAATCCCCTCCACTGTCACTAGCTTGGACTTGCCGGGCCCGTGCTTGGCGAGGAACCGCGTCAATCGATCGTTGGGCCCGCTGGTGAAGTCGTCTCCGCAGTCCACGTAGCGGCTCTCTAGCAGTGAGGTCGTGCGGATGATCTGCGCGTGCACCGTTGTGTAGTCCAGCTGGTGGGTAGGGGGGCGAGGAGAGGTAGGGCATCATAGACGGATGTGTGGTTAAGGGACGAGCGGCAGAGACAAGCAACATCGACATGCATGCAAAGACAAGCGTTAAACATATTTACCTCCTGCTGGTGGAAGACCTTGCTGGGGACGTTCAGCAGCTCCAGCACGTCGGCGAGGAACATCAATAGGAGCCAGAAGCGGTAACTTTTGACGAGCGCGTACAGCTTGGCATCGTACTCCTGCAGCATGACCACGATGGCTGGAAGGACCTCGACCAGGCGGATGACCGCATCTCCGCGCGACAGCCAGCGGATGTTGTGGATGCCCTGGAGCTCGAGGTTCGTCGACATGAACACCTCTTGGAGCTCCAGGAACCGTTGATGCCAAGGGTTGGAGCGACCGAGCAGCTCAGTGATCTTGCGAATGATATTGTCCACCATGCTGAAGTCAGGGATCTCCTTGGCAACAGCCTTTGCCGCCAGTGCCTCTCTGCGTGGGATAAGGAGATGAGATGCAAACTAGGAAGCAAATTAGGGATTTGACTTATAAACAAAACAAGAAGCAAATATACATGACATGCACATAGCAAACGGATGACAAACCGATGGGCAATGCAATGACAAGAGACAAAGGCGGGCCACAAGTCCAGAGGGCGATCCCATCATGACGACAACGCTGTCAGTGCTTATGCCAGAAATGCAGCCGAGGTCGACGCCAATCGCCAGCAGATGGGACAACAAGAGGGCGAGAAGCGATGCTGCATCCGCCTTATCCACTGTCAACAGAGACAGGTACTCGGTTACAAGCCGTCCTTCCTGGACGAACGTGGCAAACACGATCATGTGCTTGCCACGGCAGCGATCGGTGCTTTCGTCAAGGCTCAGGCCAATGTAGGGACTCGCCAGCAGGTGTTGGAGTTGAGTCGTCGGCAGCCACGTTGCCGTCGCTTGTGTCAGCTCGCCAAAGCCGTACCTGTTACATGACACGCACAAGCCAAGTTGTTGTACGTTTCATATCTAAAGACGAGACAGAGAGAAGTTCATAGTCACTGGAGTTCTCACCAGTTATAGTACGTGCCGTAGGCAGACTTCGGGAAGCCCTTGAAAATTGCGATGAGAGGTATCGCACCAAACGAATCCATGTTTCCATGGGTTCGTTACACTTGGCGCTGAAATAGAGGGAGTCGAGCAGTGCGATGACTCACTCCTTGTCTTTGTCGGCCGCGCGGGGATGCATGTCGATCCGCTGCTGGTTCGACGCCAGTTGCAGGAGATCGTCCTGCTTGGATATGGCGAGGCGATGCTTCTGCGTCCTGGCGTGCTTCTAGAATGACTGGGTCTGCACGTCCTTTGCTCCCTTGCCCTATTTTCCGGTACGCCCTGCAGGTCCTGTATGCACTGCACATACACTGCACTTGAAGGCCGGGAGCCCATCGTCAGTTTTCAAGAGCATGAGCCAAGGGAATCTGTCAGACCAACGAGATTTGAAACGCTCTTGTGCCTCAGCATAGATGTCCTCGTTCGTTCTAGCAGTGGACCTACCGCCAGACGATTCTGGCGTATCCGCAGGTACAAAGGGGCTCGGCACAGGCTCAGGCGGATCCTGGCATGTCGACGTGGAGGCGTACGGCAGAATCACCTGCCTGTACCAGAACCTCTTCGCCGCCGTCACCGACGGCGTGGTGCCAGCGACAGGAGCTGAAGCAGCGGGCATGGGGCTTGCATCCGCAGAATTCTTGCCCGCTGCGTCGGGAACAGGCCCATCGCCATCAGCAGGGGCAGCGTCACTAGGCTTCCTCTGAGGGCTACAATATGAGGCATCCGACTGCCGCAGGAACTTTAGGGCGGCAGGACCATCGCGGAAATTCTCGGCACACCAGTACTCTCCTTCTTCTTCGTCATAATCTGCCTCGTCTACGTCCTCATCGAGGTCGGCCTGCTCCATGGCCTGCAAGTGCGGTGGGAAAACAAACGCACTGAAAGAAAACCGAGGGGCTACACGAAGCTTGGTTGAAGTTTTGCTAGAGGGGGGAGAAGCAGGGTCGTTTTCCCTGTCAGTAATGAACTGATGGAGAAGGAGGGGGTCTGCCAGCTCCAACTCCATCGCGCCGCGTGAGATGCTGTCCATGCATGAATGAACCAGGCACTCGTCGCGTCAGCATGGGTGCGGTGCCTTGTCTGTTGTGCCTCACCCAGCAAAATGCCTCTGGATTGGCGAAAACAGCCGTGTTTTGGTCAAGGACCAATCGGCTACTCGGGCTATCTCTGTGCTGGCGCCATCGCACAAAATTTGCCCGCCCGACGGCTCGGGCCGCGCCAGCGCAAATGTAAATCTGGCGTGATTGACGGTGACGACAGAGGTACTAGCGCAAATCTCGCAACCCCCCCTCAAATGACGATATTACAGGAATCAAAGTCCCCCCCCCATACAAGGATGAAGCATCAGAGTACACTTGTAAAAAAAGTCTGAAAAATCAGTGTAGGTACATAAAACTTCTCTGAAAAATCAGAGTAACATAGAAGAAAAAGTAATTGGGATCAGAGTACGCCAAAAAAAAAACTATGAATTAGAGTAAAAAGTCTGCAATTTGGGGGCCTGCCTCTTAGCCATTCATGGCGTCTTCTCTACTTCATAGGAAATTGTCAACTTATACATACATTCTGCATGTAGAAGTTATAGGCTAGAATAGGTGTATGTTCTTAGAGAGTACAACCCAACCCGATATCTTGTTTGTTCTCCCTTGTTTCTAGTTATTCTAGTATTCTAACATGGTATCATGAGTAAGTTAGGTCCACCCACCCACTTCCGCCCCGCGCCCAAGCCTATCGCGCCTCGCCGGCCCCTATCGCGCCCACCCGGCCCCTCCCGCGCCATAGCTGGCCCCTCGCGCCTAGCCGGCCCCACGCGCCCTAGCCGCCCCCCCCCCCCCCCCCCCCCCTCAAGCCTAGCCGGCCCTCCCTCGCGCCATAGCTGGCTCCTCGCGCCGTCGCCAGCCCCTCACGCCGTCGCCGGTCCTTCGCGCCTAGCCGGCCCCTCGCGCTGTAGCCGGCCCCTCGTGCCCTAGCCGGCCCCTCGCGCCCTAGCCGACCCTTCGCGCCCTAGCCGGCCCCTCGCGCCCAACCGACCTCTCGCGCCCAGCCGCCCCCCTCGCGCCCTAGCCGGCCCCTTGCGCCCTAGCCGGCCCCTCGTGCACCTCGGCCCCCTTGCGCGCCCTCCGGCTCCTCGCGCGCCAGGTCCCTGTTCCGGAGAGTTCTGCTGCTACGTCGCTGTATCGTCGTACAGCTGAGTACTTGTGTCCCTGTGCCGCTGCGTCGCTGTGTCCCTGTGCCGCTGTATCGCTGTGTCCCGGTGCTGCTGCGGTTTCACGATGGCGGACCCATGCTACGTCTGGACGCGGAGGGGCAAGCGATCGACTTCGCCGCCTAGCTTGTCGATCTTCGCCGGCACCTCACAAGTTAGCACCAGGATGGGCACTCCCTAGCTATGCATGTTGATGGCTTACTTCCCCGCCCC